TAAATAAATCGAGTCGAATCTAATTTTCAAAATGCTATGACTATTTTATTTATTAAAAGTGCTTTTACCAAAAACCAAACTTATTTATATTTATTTTATAACACTTATTAACGTAAACATCAAAAATAAATCTTGTCGCAAACCATCCCTTGCATTATTATTAAGAGCGATTTAAAAATATTCAAATAGTGGATAAGTATTACACTTACCTAGTATTTCAGACATACATTTGATATTGATTTATGTATTTAAGGATATTAAGGGAAATAGATTGAATAAAATAATTAATCCTATCGAAACTACTTGTAGTATTAAAATTAGTTTTTCACGTCGAAAAAGAAATTGTCATCACCATACCTTTTAGCCGTAATACTGCAACGCCTTTTAACTTTACAATAGTGTTTTATTTTTTTGAAGAACCCTCTTATCTCTTTCGTTTTAAATGTGAAGACATTTTCCACATTATATAATTCATTGAATCTATCGACTAAAAATTAAAAAATTCGAAGAAAAGTTGAATAAAAAGCTTTAAATTCATTTTAAGTGCACCCCAAAATCTAAGTTAAAATATTGACTAACATTTTATTAGGTAGAAAGAATTGTAATACCAATGAATTTAGGATGAACTATAAGTTAAATTAAATTATTATCCACATTGCCAATTTTCGTTCGATTTAAATTAAAAATAAGCTTACACCTACATTGCCTACGTAAGAGACAGGAAATTTCGATGGTTATAAAAAAGGAAACTTTAGTATAGTAGTGTTGATGCGGTATATGTTCCCAATGTTCTCTATAAGCCTAGAAAAAAGCTTCGTTTTCACATTTCTTCCTCAACGCGGCTAGGAGAATGTGGGTCAGTATGTCAAATCGGGGTCGCCGCCTGCCCTAGGTCAATGCACTCCGTTGTCCTGCTTTTGCCCGGCTCCTGTGTATGCTCTACGGTACGATCGACGCTAACGACACTCGGCGACGCTCCCTTTTTCCTGCTTGCTGTACACCAGTCGCACCGTCTCACTCGTTCCGCTTTCCACCTTCGATTATGACAGTGCAGATCCGGAAAGCGTTTCAATCACATTTCAAATAATAATTCTAACTAATTCTATTCACAATATTATGTGAAAATGAAATATTTTTCTCATCCCTTAAACGTTTAAATAGGCATTTTTTGTTTCTTACAACCTAGCATCCAAATCAGAATAGGAAATCTTTAAACTCGCCTTAAGGATTTTTGGGAGGTATGTCAAAATGCTACGAGACAAATAAAAAATTGGAAGAACGTTCCCCATTCAAATCTAAAACTCCTGTAAAAATTACAAATCGATTCACTAAACCGTTAAAAAGTTATTGAAATTTTAAAAAATTGTAATTTTACACGTCATTTTATGGAGATTCGTTAACCGAACAGATTAAATTTATTTTTATTAACAGAAAAAAAGCTACCAGAAATTTCAAACTTTTATAATAAGTAACTTGAACTCTG